CAATTAGAAGATGTCCAGCCGCTTCTTCGCCACTTCTTCGAATCACTATAATTTTCTTAATGAACTTCTCACAATAATCACCACTCGAATGGACAATTTGGCTGAACTGAAAGTGCGATAATGACATTTTTACAATTCTTCAAAGTTCTTCAATTAAATGGAGCGATTCTCACTCAAACAAGTGGTGTTAAAAATGTGTTATATAAGTTTAAAACAGTCTTTGGTATTATGAAACACACGTGTTGGGTTTAAAATGCCTATTGTGTTAAAAGAATATCACCAAATGTGTTAAGAAATTCACCACGCGTGTTAATAAATTCACCACTTGTGTTTAAAATTCACCACTTAAGTAAAAAATCTATTACGTGTGTTAAAAATCTACCACGAGTGCTAAATACTCATCACACGTGTTAAGAAATTCACCACGGGTGTTAAAAATTTCACCACTTGCGTATTTTTCAATTCTGGCAATTGGAACCATCAGAATTAAGAGAATTCTTAAACAATCTTTTGAGGTTGTTTTAAGGAATGTGTTAAGAGCAGATTAACAGATCGGAAACTTCAGAATAACTTGGAAAGATAGACAATGTGTTATCTTTTAGAAATCTTTAAGACTGTTTCAGTGAGAATAGCAAACACTGTTTTCCCTTATTCATTTGGAATGTAAAGCTTTTTACATGTTTGACGTTTAACAATCTTCCGTTTGAGTGAGAATCACTCCAACAATCTCATTATTTTATTGGACAACCTTGGAAGAATCTCTCTCCAAAGTTGCCTTCCACAAGCTTTCGTACAAATTACTGTCTTCTTCACTCAATGCGACTCCCCATTGAGCGCTTTTTTCACTAAACTCGAAAAATTCCATTTCTCGCAGCACTTTTCCTTGAACTTCCTTCGAATGCACACTTGACACTGTTTCAATTAAGCATTTTACAAACTCTCACAGAGCATTTAATGATAAGATTTTAACGGAATTTGCGGTTTGTGAACCATTTATTATAATATATGCGAGATAAAGTACATTTTTTGTGGTTTCCTTAAAGTAAAATTTATCTATTTTATTAACCACTTTTCCGAAATCAAAAAAACTGTATTGTGATTACGAAATAAGTCGCAATTGTGCCAATGATCTGTGAAGAAAGAAAAAACCATTGAATATCTGGAAGACAAGAAATTGTTTGAATTTTTCCTACAGTTGCCATAAAAGCCATGTTAAATGTGAAAAGCCTTCCAAATCCGATGCATATTTTCTCATGGTGCATCTGAAGGGAGAGGTCAATAATCTGAAAATTCGTATATTCGTATAATGTCAGTGAAATAATGATGGAATCAACTTTTCGCGTGGTTCTTTTCACTCACACAATTCTTTATTAACATGTTGGCATTTTCGCTGTCATTGCGAAGAAGATCGTGCAACAAATTGGTGGATTTTTTAGCCTCAATTTGAAGATGTTCACACGATTTCATGAGCATAAATAAGTGTGATGTGATTGGAAAGAGAAGCAAAACGGTTGCTGTGAAAAAGAAAATTGTGGTTAACGAAATTTTGCAGAGCTGGAAAAAAGCTTTGCAAACTTACGACCAATAATCGTGAAACTTCCGCTGATTGTGTAGTAATAAATGTAGTAGAAAATGCTGGTGTCTTGAGAAAAATTGACGAAAATATTTGAGATTTGCGACCATTGATAGCAAATGTTGATATTTGCGCATAATTCGTAAATGAAAGTGTGACGAAATTTCACAAGATTCAATTCTTCAATTATGATTTTGCTGTCGAATCGCTTTAAATTCCTTTTGAGCATCAAGATGGAATTATTGAATATTTCAACGTGCATTTTGAGAATTTCCACAACCAAAATATGCGACAAATGGCGACATCTTCCGGCGATGACAGAATAAATAAGAATAAACCAAGTCGGAAGATTTTGCAGCAATTCTTCCTGTCTACGAAAGTAAATGATCAGCAAAATCAACAGAACACTTTCCATAAACACCGAAAATCCAAACAATTTCCGTATTTTATTCGTCACTCTTCTGTGACAAACGCCGTAATTCCTTTGAATTTCCTCCGCATCTTTCTCATAAAGACTCTCAAGCTTCTTAAGATAGTGCCAGAATTTCAACTGCTGATCCTTTGTGACCAAAGTCTCAACTATGATAATCAAATGCGTGAGAAGAAGACCAATTCCTTGGAAATAGTTCACAAATGATTTTCCAATCAATGGCGCGCTTGTGAAATACAAGATTGGCGTCAGCGTTGCAACAAAGACGAATGCAAGACACGCAAGGATATAAAGGGAAATTGTAAGGCGACGCGACATTCCGGGAGTGTGAATGAAGATTCCGAAGATTCTGAATAGATTTAAATGCGAAGAGAAGAGATTTTGAAGCTCCATTTTCACCAAAAGTCACTCAAACACTGCGTGAAAGTGTTTTTCCCCAAGATTATTTAAATACTCTTTCAAGCTCTAAATTTTCAAATTGTGCCATAAAATATGAATTGTAATTTTATTAAGTGACTTTCCTATTGATTCCTATCGAAGATTAAACTGTTTGTTAAGCTAAATGCAGTGGAAAAAGGCGCTAAAGGAATTGAATTGCAATGACAAGATAAGTGGCAATTGTCGCGAGCAGCTGAAAGTGATAAAAGATCTTTGTGAATGTGAATGAAAAATGCCTATTTGATGTCCTACCGTTGTCAAGAAGGACATATTCAGCGTTAAGAGTCGCCCAAAGCCTATTTTTATCTTCTCATGATAAATTTGTAGAGACAAATCCAATATCTGGAAATTATCAAGGAGAATCAAAATCGTCATTCTTTCAAAATAAGCCAAGGAGCAAATCACAAGGCGATTTTTGATGAAACTTAAAGTTCTCTAATCAAATAATCAAAAAATTATTATTTTCCCAAGTAAAATTGAAAAATAATCAAATTTTGAATAAAATAATTAAAATAAGGTTATTTTCCCATTTAAAGTTACAAAAAAAAACCAAAATAATCAAATTCTGAATTAAATAATGAGAAAAAATGATTATTTTTAATCATTTAATCAGAATATTCCGAATATTCACAATTATATTCAAATTTTTGATTAAATATTAAGAAAATAATCAGAATTTGTATGAAATAATAAAAATTTGAATAATAATTACAAATAATAAAAACAAATGATTGAATAATCACAAATTGCCTTGAAATAAGCATAGTTAAAAATAAGGTGTTAAAATTGCTTTGAAATTTGCCTCAAAACACCTTCAAATTGTTCATTAAAGTGCTAATATTGCTCTATAATAAATGTTTTCTGAAAATTTCCATTGATTTTACTAGAATTTATAGAAATTTTTGACTATAATATGGCAAAATTAACAGTCTTTCAGTATATTTTATCCGAAAAAGTTCTTAAAAAATAACTTTTGATAACTTACATGAACTTTTCTTTAAGAGTTTCATGTGAAAAAATTAAAATATTGACAAATATGATAATAATTTGGAGTCTAAGAATATTTCATGTGGGCATTTTATGTGTTTTACTGCGCTTTGAGACAATTTTCTTAGAAAAAATGCGATAAACAGTCGATTTTTCATAGCTTTCAATTCATCCATCAAAATATACTTACGCAATTTTTGATAAAACGCTGATTATCACCGAAATTTCTCTGCAATTCATGCAATAAATTGTTCGATTTGAGAGTTTCAGTTTGAAGATCTTCACACGTCGTCATAAGAATAAACAAGCTGCAAATGTTCGGTATTAAAAGCAGGACAGTGGCTGAAAGAAAACAGTTTAAAAATACCCTTCAACACAAAGGACAGGATGAAAAATGTCCTTACACGTAAGTAATTTGAACAACTCGTGAATGAAGATGAAATAAAAGTAGTAAGAAATCGTCGTCAATTGAATGGAATTCACTAAAATGTTCATCGATTGCGACCATTGATGGCAAATGTTGATGCTTCTGGACAATTCCCAAATGTAAGTGTGGCGAAATTTGACGAAATTCAGCTCCTCAAGTCGGGATTCATTGTTGATCTTTCCGAAATTCACTTTCAAACGTCTCAAAGACATGTTGAATATTTCCACGTGCATTTTCAGCAGCTCAATTGCCATAATGTGCGACATGTGACGAACTCTGCCGGCAAAGACTGAATAGACATGCATCAGATACTGAACAAGGACATCAATAATGTCCTGAGTGGTGAAATATGTGTAATAAGCTAAGATTGCCATCGTCAAAACGCTTCCCTCCACAAGAATCGACAACACAAGCATTAAGCGTATTTTCCGCGCAAATTTGCCCTTGCAGTCCTTGTAAATCCTGCCAATGTCCTCCAAATCCCTCTTGTAGAGACTATCAATCTTACTCAGATGATGCCAGAAGAGCAACTGCTGTTTTCCCGTGATTAGAGTCTCGAAAATGGTGACAAAGTGCGTGACAAACACACCGAAAACTTGCACGTAATTCAAAATTTCAAGATTGTCCGAAGGTTTCTCGAGAATGTAATAAATTGGTGCCATTAGAAGGACGAAAACTAGGCCAAAAATTGCCACAGAATTCGTGATTATTTTGGCACGACGCGACATTCCGGGCGTCTTAAGGCGAATCCCGAAGAATCTGAAGAAATTCAGGTGCGAATTGAAGAGCTTGACAACTTCCATTTTCACTCACTCTTGACTGTTGACTTTCTGCGAGGGAAAAAATGGTTTAGAACATCTTCTGTGCCTGGCTTAAGTGGATTTTGATTGATTTTACAATTATTGTGAAGTTAAAAACAATTTTCAAACCATTGATTACAGAATTTATTTCAAACAATCACTTAGTCTAATTGAAAGAAGATAAAAATGTGAATTTCAATTGGAAATTGAAGTCTTAAATATTTATTCATTTCATTAGATAAACATTTGTTGCTTCAAACAGTTCTAGAATCTTGCAAGATCTCTCCAATGAGTCCAAAATCGTTAAGATCGGATGAAGAGATTTATCGTTTTTGGGTGTTCAATTCACTTGCTCAAAGAATGCAAAATGGCACAATAAGACATCGCCAATTTCATGATCTGCACGAAGGCATTCAAGTTCACGTCGTACATTCCGGCGGCTCTGAGTCCGAAATCCTTCTGCGACATCGCGAGGACAAGCAGAAATGCCTTCTGATCCTTCGCGTGCAATTCGTACCAATTTGTGAGATAAAGAATCTCCGAGAGTCTCTCGGTTTTCATCTTGAGAAGTTCACCAAACAAGCAAAGAAGTAAAATTTGAAAAATTCCCGAAGTGCACATTAAATAAACTGTAATTTGATCGCTTTCCTTCAGCAAGAAGACAAACATAAAGATCAGAAGCAAAATACTGCTGATGATCTGAACAAAGGCCGTCTTTTGAATGGCGACGTTGAATAAATTGACATTCTGAATCATTTCACTGTGGCGAGAGATGATTTTCCTTAGATAATTCCAAATATCCTTAACTCTCTTGTCCATTTGTGTCATGTAATCGCTGAGAATGCTCAAACCCGCCATTATTTGAATCCCAATGAAAACTGTGGCGAAATCAATCATCGACACGGCGATGACACTGAAGGTCAGCAAGATGATTTGCAAGACGTAAATGATGTCTTCAGGAAGTGTTTTCGGTCCGAGAATTTGCATAAATAGTCCAAAGTCGCTGTTCGGCGTCATAATTGCTGTAACAGCAATTGCAGATAAGGTTATCAACGGAATTCCCCATCTTAAAGAAGATCAGAAGGAATAATATTAAATTTACACTTCTTTGCACAATTTCTCACTTGGTCAGAAGTTTCCAAATTTTGAGTGATCGGATTAAATGCTTTTCCAAAGCAAACTTCAGCTCAGGATCAGTTTCTTCTTCGCTGTAAACAGATTCAATCCACTTGCGAAGATTGAGAAAATGTTGACGATCAACGAGGCCAAGAATGAATTTCAAGACAATTTGCAGTAAACCGACTAAATACATTATCGTCGTATTCAAATCCATGTTCAATTCCATTGATAGTGAATCCAACAGACGATTGATGGTGAATTTCAACGCAAGAATTGGACAAGAAACCAAAATCACAATCAAGAGACGATTTTTCCACGGTCCAGACAAGATATTGATCGTCAAGACGGAGATTTGGAAGTCAAACATTGCTTTTTCACAATTAAACTTCTCCAAATGCTTGGAAATTTTCATTTTCTTCACACCAAAGTGAAAAATCCTTCCACAATGTTTCACTGTTGCACTTAAACTGAAAAATCGTCGTGAAAACATTAGAAAACAAGCACAAAAGTGTGTTCATATTCTCACAAAATTCCTAAATATTAAATGAATTTTAATAAGAATAGATTCAAGGGGTTTCTTATATAGATTTTGAGTGTCACAGCATCTTGCGTCTTCGCTGCATTGCGATTCGTTTCGTCATTTCGAAGAGAGTTTCATTCAAAATTCAGACATCTTAAAAATTCTGCGCGGGATTTAGAGAAAGGATCATTTTGACTAAAGAAAAAATACTTAAAGAGAAAAATCTAAATCTGTGTTGAATACAAAAATTAGGAGAAGATTTTGTGAGGAAAATGTATTTTTTAGGTGTAAAATGAAAATTGTGTTAAACTTTAAGCACTGAACGATTAAAGAACTCTTTACGGTTTTAGAATCTTAAAGATTCTCGATTTTGCAAAAATTAGGAAGTTTTTCCAGTGTCACAAACGTTTTTAACGTAAAACTTTGCGTAAAACCGTAAATATACGTCTGAAGATTAAGTATTTAAACAAAGTTGTCTATTCATTGCGATATTTGCAAGCTTTTCAGCTGAGAATTCGCTTTTTACTCTTTCAAAATTATGTTAAATAATATTGTTATTAAATTTTGAAGAAATAACAAGATAAAATATATGTTTTTTCTCATTCAGAACAACTGCAAAATTGTTCTTTCTGCGCACCTCAAAAGTAACACTGCATCCTCAATATTAGCAACCCCTTGAATATACATAATTGAGGAAAAGTGGTTTTGCGGCACAAAACTTTTCACTGAATCAATTTCTAGCCTTATTAATTTCTTAGTTTTAAACTGGTTGGTAATAAACTGCACATATTTCAACCGCTTTGATTTGAAAGGCAACAATTCGATGATTTATTTATATAAATATTTATTGATTGGAGCAAAGTTTTATTCCACGAATATTTTATGCCGCAACACAATTAAATTACAGAATATTCTGGTAAATAATTTAACACACATGAAAGTTATTTATATCTCAACAAAGCTCGAATTTAGTTAAACCAATAAATTAGCTTTAATTCAACTCTTCTCATCACAATAATTCATCAAAGAGATCTTTAAGCAAAAAAAGAGTCAAACGAAGAAATTACTCTAAAATGTCGCTTTTTGCATTGGAAATCGATAATGATGCAATTTATTTAATGGGTTTCATTGTGACTTTTATTGCTTATATGATTAATATTTTAATAACTTCTTCACTCGAGCGCTGGGCAAAAACTCATTGAACTCCATCGGCGTTCGCGGCATTCAGCCAAGATGATCACATAAGATGCAGTAATTGTCGCAATCGCATGAAAGCATCAGATGGAAAATTTAATCAGCACAATAATAGACATTTTTTCCAAGCATTGCATTTATGGCGGGAATGTTGAGAGTTGAAATTCCTCTTCGATCCGCGCAAGTGAGTCAACATTGTCCATAAATTGATGTTACTTTACATAATGTTTCCATGTTCAGCACTTTATTTGGACTGTATTGGATAATATTTCTCCAATTTCCATCTCTTTCCGCTTATGTGGTGTCCAGGAATTGCATGAGGATCACAACGTAGCTCGCGATGGTCACCAATAACTGGAGGAAAATGTTAATTTTTATTGTTATTCAATGTGAAATTTGACTGGAAATCCCAACCTTTGCAAGAAAACCATAGTTTAGAGTGAATATTTTGCCAAAGTAAATGAAAATCCTCTCATGATGCATTTGCAGAGACAAGTTAACGACCTGAAAGAAAGGATTTTACTAAATATCAACCAAATCATTTATGATTTTTATTCAATTTTTATTATTTCATACAAATTCGGATTATTTTTGATTATTTTCTGAATATTTAATAAAAATTTGTTTGTTTAAAAATTTGACATTGAAAAAACAAACATTTTTTGATAATTTTATAAAAAATTTGATTATTTTAAAATTTCACTTTGGAAAATAATAATTTTTAAATTATTTTATTAAAATTTTGTTTATTTACGATTTTTACTTTTGAAAATAATAAATCTTTGATTGTTTTATTAAAAATTTGCTTATTTTGCAATTCTGCTTTATAAATAAAAATGTTTTTTGATTATTTTATTAAAAATTTGATTATTTTAATATTTCACTTTGGAAAATAATAATTTTTTGATTGATTTAATCAATATTAGATTATTTTTCAATTTTACTTTGAATAAAAAACAATGTTTTGTATATTTTAATAAAAATTTGATTGTTTAGTAATTTTATTTTTAAAAGTAATAAATTATTGATTATTTTATTAAAAGTTGGTTTATTTTGCAATTTCGCTTTGAAAAATACTAAATTTTTGATTATTTTATTCAAAAATTTGATTGTTTAGCAATTTTACTTAAAAAAATAATAATTTTAGATTGATTTAATGAATATTAGATTATTTTGCAATTTTACTTGGGAAAATAATCATTTCTTGATTATTTTATTCAAATAGTTATACTTACGCAATTTTTAATTAAATAATCGTCTTGACATGGATTTAATTTGATCATTTGATGCAACAAAGATGCTGATTTATTTGCTTCTGACTGAATATTTTCACCACATTTCGCCACGTTGTAAATATTTAGAGTCATAGGAACGTAGCAAATGAAAGTAGCTGAAAAATATTATTTATTAATGTTAAAACTCTGCTATATTTAGTCTTTAAAACGTACGGAACAATTGGAGAAACTGATGGTTGATCACGTAAGAATAAACCCGAAAACAGAGACTCGTCAGTTGAACAAAGTTCACGAGAATGTTGATGAATTGCGACCATTGATGGGAAAAGTTGATGCTTCGCGAAAGCTCCCAAATGAATGTGTGACGAAGCTTTATCTTATTCAATTCCTCAATTATCACCGTCTTTTCCATATTCATCATTTTTCTCTTCACGTTCGCGATGGATTCGTTGAATAATTCAATGTGCGCGTGAAGAATTTCCAGGAAAAACAATTGATCCAAATATCTCAATCGGCCAACAATTACCGGCAAAATGTAAATTGACCAGCCTATGATGGAGAATTTCAGTGTTTCATTGCCTTTGCTGAACCAAAACATGTAATTTGTCAGAACCGATTCCACACAAATAGTAATAATTACAGCAATTATTAAGTGATTTCTTGTTGATTTCTTCACATTCAAGTATTTCACTTGGATTTGATCAAAGTCATTTTCATAGAGATTCTCCAGTTTCTTCAAATAACTCCAAAACCGTAATTGTTGTTTCGTAGTTAGAAGAGTTTCAGTGCTAACAAACAATTGAATGGCAATCAAACCAGTTCCTTGAACAAAATTCAAGATCTCGTAACCCTTCGGCTTGTTGAGAATGTAAGAAATGCACACAAGACACAATGCAGAAAAAACACCAAAAATCGCACTCGAAACAGACAATATTTTACACCGACGAGACATTCCGGGATTTGGCAGGTAAATTCCGAAAACCCGGAATAAATTCAGGTGAAAATTGAAGAGCTTCAGAAGCTCCATTGCAAATCGCCGTTTAACTGAATATTGAATGGAAATTCCATTCGTTCAACTAATTATATTGCATTTCAACCATTATCGATTTTCCCATCAAGCTTTTGAGTATTTTTTTATTGAACTCTCTTCTAGTTTATTACACAGAAACATATCATGATAATTCTTTTTAAAATGCAGGCTTCAAGAATTGAATGAAAATCACCAAGTATGTCGCAATGGTGGCAATCATCTGAAATATTTAATATAACATGAGATTTCCAACACCAAGGGGGAGATAATAGAGTCAGAAGTGGTGTACAAATGAACAGAAGTATTAAAGAAGTGAAATGGATTCCCAGAAAGCGTCTTTTACTGACAAACTATCCCGATTCTTTAGATCTCCTTCGATTTTTATGTAGAATTAAACGTAATAATCTTTTATAGGTTATGTAACGATTCAGGAATAGATTTAATAAAGTATTTCGCATTCTTTCACATTAATTCTTATAATTCTCAATTCTCAAGTCAGTGAGATTGCTAATTATTGGCAGAA